GCACACAACTGGCAGAGTGGTGAAGGCAAGCCAGTGAAATTTTGCATTGAGAAACTGTGCATATGGGAAAAGTGCCTGAGGGAGTGCTTTGAAACCAATGTCAATCTCTTAAAGGTTGAAACCCTCCTAACTTCTTAACAGGAATTATTTACCAGGATTAGAAAAGCTACTGCAAAAAGAAAACAGGGTGCAACATGCCTGCTCCTGTATGGTATCTTTTCTTTCCCATGGGCTGTGCATCAAGCATTGGAGTCCAGCTGTAGTTCCATATTCTGCACCTGAGTGCAACGCCTGTCCTCCATCCGCTCTGCTTGAGGCCCCTGTGCTCACCAGATCCCAGTGAGGAAACTCGAAGTCCTTGGGCTGTGAGATGGGGCAGCACAAAGGGAGTTTATGAGTGATGATGTCTTTCTGTGTGAATTTAAGAACCTTAACTTTGAAGTGAGAGAAGCCTATGCAGGTCTTTGTAAAAAAAAAAAAAAAAAGCCTCCATTACTTTCCTCAGCAAAAAGCATGTGACTTAATTGCATGTTTGTAATAACCTGAGTTTGATGATTTTATAATCCCTTAAAATGCTGTTTGGAAAGCAAATTTTGGTGGATTAACTCATTGAACTTCAAATTCGCTGCAGTCTTCCTTAAAGACTATTTTAAACCTGATTTACTAGATTGTTGGGAATGGCACATACCAATTTTGCAGGGCACAGAGCTGTGAATCCATTACTTTGTTCATTTTGCGTCCCTGCGGATGCTTCCAGGGATTGTTCATGTAATCAGTGCAGCCATTTTACACAGGGAGGATCTTGTGAATTTCATTAGATGTAAGATAAGCTAATCAGCCACCACCTGTGGCTTTTCCTTTGGTAATGCACCGTAAAAGCTAAATGTTCCACTGCTGTGAGTTTTATTTTGGGCACTAAAAATACCTCTGGTAACACTGAAGTAGGACTATTCATCTCAGGCTTACACTGTTTACTCCCGCTGCAGAAAAGAAAAATGTCAGTGTCTCATTCTCTGTTAATCTGATCTGTGTATTTGCTGCCTCCCCCATTAACTTTTGAAAGAAGTTAATGAGAGAAAACGTTTTGCTTTCTTTGTTAAGATAAATCCATTCTATGTCTTAAAGCTGCCATCAAAGATTGCTGGATAGTTAATCAAAGCTGAGGCTTAACATTTCAAATCCAGCTGTTTTCAGCAGCAAATGCTTGCGGGTTGCTAAATGCACTTGGCCCCTATTAACAAGCCTTAGAGCAATTCTCTTTGACTGGGGAGGGAACAGTCTTCAATTAGCATTTATCTTCTGTTTATCGGTGGCTTTCTGTAGAGTTTTGAGCTAGGACAGTTGTACAGCACTCTCACAAGCTGCCTGGCAGGTAGCTTGCTGCCTGTCAGACGCGATGGGTTCTTATCATGGAGGGACAGGGCAGATCTGCTGATGGCGTAAAACCATTATTGATTCGTTGTATTCGCAAAGCAGTCTGTCTACTCTTATTGACACACGTGACTTCTGCCATTTTTTTTCAGTGCAATTTCCAGAAAGATGAACAGCGGAATTGGGCTTTGATTTTTCTGTAGTGCAGGGTTGTTCACTGGAAAACTTGATATCTTTTAGTTAGATAACTTGTCACTTAGTACAGAACAAAATTAGCTTTCAGCTTGTTAGCAAGGGAGTGCAGGGAGGGATTCAGCATTCACTCATTTCCAACATTAGGGAATGCTAAGGCTCAGCTTGGCCACCTTTTATCCACTTGTTATTTACTGGGTGATGGGGAGAGCCAAACAAAATAGGGTACCAGTTTCTCTATGTTTTTTCATGTTGTTATAGCTTTATTCTGCTATGACTTGCTAACCAATTCCTAATGCTCTTATTCTCACATAGCTAAAAAGACCATGGTAACATCGCATGAAAACCACAGATAATGGTACAAATCCTTTCTTGCTTTTCCGCAACTACAGTATGAAGTATCATGCTGTTCCCTGTTCAGCTGGCAGTGCTTCAGGTTACTGGAGTGAAAAGCCATAAAACAGATCCTTGACAGTGCATGCATATGAATTCAATGGTTTTGAGTGGATTAACCTTCATCCAAGGGGATTGACAACCTTGTCTTGATTTAGAATGAGTAGTTATGTTACCAAAGATAGTTAATTGGCTTGGAATGTTCTTCTCTATGTGTATTGTATTGCATTAGTTGCTATGCTATTCACAGAGAAACTGTCAGGATTTCTGTGACTAATGAGCTCGTGGCCATCCCTGAGATAGATGGCTGACTCTATCTAAAACCTCAGCATTTATCTCAGTGGATCATGCAATAGAGATGTGCAATAACTGCTTGTGATTTATTTCCTTTGTGAGGACAGTTATATTCAGAGCACCTGAGCTTTGTTGTTCCTGCTCTGACCTTTCAGAAATTGTAGTATTTTGATGATCTGAAATGCTGTAAATGGCAAGAACACTGCAAAGTTGGGGAGATTATGCTCCTTAGTAGTAAACAGATCTTAATGTCTGAAGTACTCTCATTAACACTGAGAGCGTATCTGTTAACAATGAAGCATCACAGCTCATCTGTGCACTGTCATCACCTGGCAGCTTGAATGCTCAGTGAATTTTATGTGGATTTACAGTTTTTAAAAACCAAAATTACTTTGCTTAGACAGTAGTGCTAAGCAATAACATTTTGCAGCAAAGCACGGCCTCTCCACCATCTCTTCACAACTGAAAACTGCTTTTCTTTCATTCTGCTTGAAGCATACATTGAGAAGAGCAGCAATAACTGGGGAATATCTTAAGTTCTGTGGATAGGAGGTGAGAAGCTGTTACCAAACTTGTAATAGGTGTATTTTCAACAATATCATTCGTTGAAGATCAGTGCCTGGCAAATTGCTATAAAATAATTTTAAAGAGAATAGTAGCTGTATTATTTTTATGGCTCTGTTCTCGCACTTTGATTTAGATTTTCAGTCTTATTAAAATCCAGAGGGCAAAGTAGCGTGTCTAGAGTTTGTTTGCATACTGTTCCACATTACCTTAAAATAAAATAAAGGATCAAGCCTATAATGTGTATATAAATAATTTTATTCACAGCAATGTGAGGTACTGGTTGCACTTCAGACAAGCTCACATTACAATTTCCATCCCTTCTGAGCAGCAGCTTACTTGGCAAGAGGAATTCGAAGTTACTGAGTAGGTTTTTAACTTGGCTTTCCACCACCAGGCAGATTTAGTAGGACTGAAGGCCTGTTCCTACTGCCTACTGTGAGATGCAGGGAGAAGCAGGAAAAAAAAAATTGGGAGTTAATGGAAAATCATGGTTTGGTGGGGAGGCCTAAGGTACCCTCTAGGTTTCCTGATACTTATGAGGATCAGCATGTCAGAAACTCCTTTTTATGAGTCTGCTGATAGAAGATCATTGAGGACAAGGGCATCCCTCAATATCCTGTGTAACCACAGAAGACTCCCAGTCTGGCTTCCAACTAAAAAGCTCACAAATCCTGATTACATGTGGCAGAAAGGCAAAGGACTTCTGATAGAGCAGAGTCATTTCAAACAATGTAGCGGTGTACTGAAAGCATCTCATGTACTTTTAAACTAGCAAGCTCTGAAATAAGCAGATGAATTAGTTCTTAAGTTTTCCTTATACGTTCTTCAACATGATTTCCTAAGGATGTCAGGCCAGTATGTGTTAAATGTTTACAATACTGGATTTCTGTATTATGCATTTCCCCCTTTCCCTGTGAAGTAGTTGATGTATGCTTCTCTTTAGTACCGAAATGTTCAAGTAGCTCTTTCTTCCTGATCCTCTGTTAATTTTTTGGTTCTCCTGCATATTTTTTCACATCCTCAATTTTTTTTTTTTGCTTTTATCTGTGTCTAGCCATTCACACCATCTGCATCACACTGTATAGAAGCAGTCTGCCTGAGAGCTGAGCGCAGAAAGCCAAATGAGCTTCTTCATCGCTCACTTTGCAGCCTTGTGGCAGTGTGCCATGCCCCACAGGGATTTCATTCAGACATCAGCTGACAGCACTGATATTGCACTTGTTGCATGCCAGTAAGAGAGCAGTTCTGAGCTGTTTTTTTGCCTTCTCTGGAGAACAGACTGGGATACATCAGAAGTGCTGTTGAGTTACCGAACGCTCTTCAGTAGTACTTGTGTTGCCAGTAACTCTGTCATAGACCAGAACTGCAGAAAAGCAGTTCTGTGACCACAGTAATATTTCTTCTGTGGGCTGGAGGTGAAGTAAAACTTCAGGCAGGTAGATCTATAGAATTTATGTTACTGTCCTTGACAGTACTTAATTTTTTCCATCATCAGAAGAAAAACAGACTGTAAAAGGATGCGCAGATGGAACTGTCTCTCAGCTGGATGTAGGCAGAGCACAGTATGTTCACAATTCTGGTTGCCCATGCAATCTACAAAACATCTTCTGCCTCCTAGGGCAGGGCTCAGCTGCAGCCAGAGTGTCTCCTGTGGGCTGTGCCTCTGCCCAGCTGACGTGCCCTGCAGTGGGGGGCCCAAGGATCTCAATGTCCTGGCCATGGAAGGACAAGGGTGATTGTGAGGTGATGCAGCTGTGCAGCCTTCTCTGTGCGGATCTGTGAGCCTCTCATCAGCCTTTTCTACTTGGCTGGCCAGAGCATGCAAGCATCTCGTGTTCCAAAATGTCATTTTTGTGACAAAACTCATGAAAAAGAGAAGAACTTACTTTGTTCCCTTATCTACTATTTATTTGTTCCACCACAAGCATATATTTTCCCCATTCACTTCTGCTGCTGCCTCATAATCATGATAATCTTTGAAGCCGACTGGATTGCTTGAATGGGAAATTGTACAAATTTCTGCCTGGCTTTGAAATTGGAGGGTTAAGGCATTTATGGGAAGAAGTTATTGTGTTTAAGATTGTTGATGTTGTAGACACACGATTCCTTGGTGTAGGAGAACTGTTAGGTCCTGGCTTGAACTGCTGATTGCACACCTGGTGAAGGGCTGTGGCTGCCCACGGAGCACAGACAAATTGTCAGCAGCTGTGCTCCCCAGGTGATCAGAAGGGGTGGAATCAGAGTAGGACCTCCCTGGGCACATATAAAAGCCAGCCACTGAAGGGAGAGCAGCTCTTGGACCTGGTTTGCTTCTTGAGGAGTGCTGCACAGCCAGAGAGCCCCTTTGCTATCTGGGTGAGTTCAGTTTTTCCTGTGTATGACTCTTTGCCTACCTGTGAATGCCTTACCTGATGTTGCTAAGATCCTGTCAGAACCAATTTCCCTTCTTTGTGAGCAGAATCTATGTTTTCTGTTAAGCTCTGTGGATTTAACTGATTTTATGAGACATGGCTATGCCTGGAAAGCAATGACTAAAAGAGATGCAAATGAAATCTGGAAATAACCTTGAAAATATCCTTTCCAATCGTACCTTCAGTACCTACGCTTGCTAGTGTTACTGCTGGTGGGATTAGGAGGTGTTACTAGTAGAAAGCGTGCTGTTTGCTAGGAGGAGAGGACAGCCCCAGAGGGTGCTGCAATGCAGGAGCTTTCAGTGCCATCTCAGCAGTGGACCCTCCACTTTAGCAGCAGTATGTTGATGGTTGCTCTTCTCTTTCCCTTCCAGTTAGGGTTCCCAGGCACTGATCTCTGTTTTGGCCTGTAATTTCAGTATTGGCCTGAGGTTTCCAGTTGCTGCCGAGCGTAAGATTTGTAGAACTTGTGAAGAAATGAATTGCTTTTGCTAATTTCATATCAAATAAATGGTCTTTATTTGTGGCTATAGAAACATGAGTTTTTCATCAGGAAGGGAACCATGCTGAACTTTGCAAACCATGACAGTTCAATACACACAGCTTCCAGAAATTGTTTTGCGCTGACCCAGATAATAGTTTGTCACCTATTCAATGGTAAATTTAAATAAATAATTCATGTAGACTGGGCAGTAGCATCCAAATTGCTACTTCTGTATTCTTTGACTTGTCAGATAATTACTTTGAAAATTGTTTAACTTTCATTAAACAATTTTGTTTAAATGCTGAGGGTTTCTGAAAGGATTAGATTAGATTAGAAAGGATTGGACTCGATGATCTCTGGAGGTCCCTTCCATCCCCTATGATTCTGTGATTATACTTAACTGAATGAAGATGCATTATTTAGTAGGTATTCTGTGAATTTGCCACCCGCCTGACCTACAAAGATTTTTGCAGAGGAGAGAAGCTAGCATTCGATGCTTGTTTATCTTTAATCCACGTAGACGTTCTATTGGTGTTGGAGAACTTGTTTTCGTCTATAAAAAGCAATGAATAAACTGTTTCTACTAATTAAGCTCTTAATAGAGCAGTGAGGAAGATATTTTTTAATGGTCATCTCCTACCTGCTTTTCTTACTTATCTGCACCAATAGCTGTGAGATAACCTTTCAAGTGTTTCTCTTGAGCTTACCTATAGTGTGCATGGACCAAGAGATGAGGTACAGTACTCTTACTGCCTACCAGACCCCTGATCAGGTCACATTTTGGGGATGATTCATCAGAGTTGAGAAGCCCCCACCCTCAGAAATGGCTGATAGTGAGTTTGATCCTGAAAGGCATTTTGAACTCCTGTGCTCAGTTCTTGACGAGCTTTTGCTGGGCTTGCTGGTCACCATGATGGATGCAGTCACACCCTGGAAGGGGCACAAAGTAAAGGTTTTATTTCTAAAAAGACGTGGGGCAATCTTTGGTGAAATCTAATGTAACAAAAGCTTTTTTCAGAACTGGGCATTGCAACAGTGGGCACCCAGCAGAGAGAAGAACCAAAGGGAAGATCCAGTCTTCTCAGGGACACGCTGGGGCTGCCAAAGGTCAGAACATGTTTGCAGTCCTAGGATCATTTTCTGATGTGTTCTTCCTTGCTGGAAAAATTATGGGAAGCAAGATGGAGTTTCTGACGTGGTCAAGTTAGTGCTGGGCCTGAACTAAGGGCACTGGAGCTGTATACATAAGCTGAGAGAATGGGATTCAAGGAGAGGGACAAAGGCCACAGAGAATATAGAACTGAGAAGGAAATCTTCAGACATATTCCCAACTATTACACAATAAAAAAGTAGTGTTTCTTATGCATCTGGTAACAGGCATTTGCTTTCCCAGGGAGGCTGAATTTCAACACTTCATATCTGCCTAGCCTGATCTTTTGTAATTATCTGATTGTTTTTGATTACTTGAGATTGTCTCAAGGGGCGTGGATACAAATAACTATTAACTTGTGCATTTTGTCACTTGGGAAAGGTAATCTGTTTATCTCTGCAGGCGGAAGAACGTCATCAGATAGTGAGACCTAGGCAGCCCTAGAGTTATGTCTGTGCTGGAAAAAGGCAGCTTGTTTTGTGCATTTGGGATTTGTCTGTCTTTTGTATGTGTGTGAAGAAAGAACTTTTTTTTCTCAGGGAAAAATCAACCATTTCAAGACAGCCTTAATTCTTCTCCCTCACCCATTTTTATATGAAACAGTGAAATCTTTGCTTGCAATTAGGATTCATCTGTGACTGGTTTGGGGTCAATATGAGCAGCTTTTGCTGCAGTGCTCCCAAGTTAGTGGGATGTTGCTTTGCCTCGCAAATCATTACCAGCCGGATTCACTACATGGATGAAGTTCTCCAGCAAAGTACAGGAGGGCCTCTGTTGACTCTGATGTCTGACAGATGAGAACTTTCAGATCTTACCAGTTCAGGTGCAAGTATCTTCCAGGCAGCTCAGGCTGCTGTGCTACGCGTTTTGTCTTAAAAGCAATTTTTGTTTGTTAAGACTCCTTTAAAGAATCCTCAGCCCCAAGGAAGCTTTGTTTCACGTGTCTTACCTGTGCTGGGAAGGCTCCTTGTCACAGTATTGCTGATAGTGACTTTGTAATCATTAACAAGATTTTTGATTAGGAACAAAAGTACTGCTTATTTTCCTCTTACAGGCACCAAATATTGCTTATCCTTATTTCCACTACTGTTTTTCTCTTGTTACTGCCTCATTTTACCATTAAGAGATGGCATTACCATTATTGAGATGGGGTTCAAAGAAATGTAGCCTAAGCTTTCATCTGGAATTACAGGGTGCTTATGTACAATACAGCAACACCCTTGGTCTGAAACTCTTTCCATTTGTAATAGTTAACAGAGAATGATTTGTGTGCTTGATTGTAGTTATTGTGTTGTTTTAGTGATTTTTTCAGTCTGGATGTCCCACTATGAATGATGCAGTGCAGTTCTTGACTACACTTAGTGCCTTTTTATAATTATGGTAGAAACTTGCCCCAGATTGATTCTGATGAGAGCAGCTAATTTTTATTGAATTTCTTTTTTTGTGCGGTGTTTTTTGTGTTCGCAACTCGTAGCTGTGAAATGGTCCTGCAGTTCATTTGCGCTCACCTCCCATGTTTAGACAAGGACATCTTGTGCTCTGTACTCAGCTGCTACTATTTTAGACCTAAGATGGATGATGGGTGCAGGAGAAGAAGGGGGAGGGAACCTAGCAAACAAAACACATGTTAGAAGTAGCTTCATTTCTCAATATTAGCCTTTATTAGCAATACTGCAGAGTTCTTATAGCTTGGAGTCTTTTGCACAGAAGTTATAGGTTATGGATATAGGGTATAGGTATGGGTTATAGGGAAGCCTTTCACTACAAAATGGGGCTCGGGATCTTATGGAGGTGTCCAGCCTCTCTGCATGCCAGGTATGATGGGTGAGTCAGAAACTGGCTGTGTGCTTTCTCACAGCTTTGAACACATGGAGAGGACAACTGTAAGGTGTGTTATTGCTGGTGGCAGATTTGTTGCTTTGCTTGAGGTCAGTGCAAGCACCTTTCTGCAGGCTCAAGATCAGAGGTGTCAAAGAACATCGGTGAAATAAGTGTTGCAGGGACTAAGGAAACACCTTTTGTTCTACCAAATTACGAAGCTGAGACAAAACTAGCTTTGCCTTTTCCTAATGGACCTGTTGCTCAAGTGAAATATATTCTTCTGTAACTCTACTTGTGAAATGCAGGAGCCAATTAGAAACAGCTGTTACACCTGTTGGACACTTTAATACAGCCCACATACATGCTTCAGTCACAGTTATGGGCCTGGCTTTTTCTTCTTTAAATCATCTGTTTTTGTATTATCACTCAAGTATGCTGCATGATCATATAATTACATACAGATAAGCATTAATTAGTAATAATGCTACAGCTGATCTTTAAGTCAGTTACTGATATGCATTTTTCCACTGTACACATTCATTATTGCCATAATATCACTTAGCAATACCTCCACAGTCTAAATGACAGTGATACAGCTCGTTGGTTTGGTATTTCGATTTTGTCTATGGAAGAAAACTGCTGGAAAAGACAGCCTATCATTTAAAATCAGCATTGTGGGGTTCCTACTGCGTGTATCTGAAGTCACAGCAGAAATGCTGTGATGAGCAGTGCAGCTGAAGGCAGGTCCATAGCAAACATCAAAAGCCAAGCAGTCACTCAAGAAACTGCTGTGAGGGGCACCAAAACAATGTGCTTTGCAGACAGAAATACCTGTTGGCATTTGAAAAGACTGTTTTTATATTAATGATAAACTAATCCTTTGAATTACATTTGAGTGTATTTGAAGGTATTCAGTGAAGAGTGCAAACGTGGTATCTAATGACTAATGATGAGATTCAGTGATGTGTTAACACTGCTTTATAAAACCAAAATCTCAATAACAACAACCATTCTTTTTTAATTCTGTGGTCCAGAACACATACTTTTCATCTACTGGATGTTGCTGAAAGTAGGAGTGTTTTCTTTATGCAGCCTATTGAAATGTGCTGGAACAGATGTTTCTCCTCCTAATTATTTAGTAATTACAGTTGCCCAGAGCATTAGTAGACTCAGTCTGTTTGACATCAGTCATTCATTTATAGGGCTGGGAATATCTGAGGGCAGAAGACTGTGAGATGTTTCTCAGAAATGCACCATTCCACCTTTTGATCCAACTGCATTTAAGTAGGAGTCAGTTGTTGTAAGTAATATTTATAGAGGGATAAAAGTAGATGTGGGACTGTCTTGTCAGCCTTTCTTTGTGCATCAAAAAGATAAATAAACACTTGTATGCTGTGCTGTGTGCAGATTTAATGTTTTATGCAAGGGCTTCTAAAAATGTGATTCTGTCTTAGATTGTGCAACTTCTATTTTTTTTTTTTCCTCCCTG